TCGACAACAAGTTAAAAAGCCAAAGTCTTGTTATATAATAAATGAGCACCCTTAGTGGGGAGTGGGGACACTGTTCCAACACAGGATAACTTGTCACACATCCCACAAAGAATGGATAGAATTTATCAATATTTAAGGAAGTTTTGGGAAGGGAGGAGTTGGTGTGGAGGAAGGAGGGTGGGTTTTTAATGCCACTGATGGGTATAAGGCCTCAGGATAAATAAGGCTTCAAATAAAATACTCAGTTTGCCATCTGAATCTGCCAGCTAAATGTATACCAAGAAGTACTCTCTGAGTTACCAATCTATAAAACTGTCACAAGATCAACCATTAAATATTTTTAAATATTTAAAATTAAAATATTTTATATTCCTACCTGCTCATTAAGTATTTCATATATCTATCTCACTGTAAATAGCTTAAATATTAGTAACAAGAAAAAGAAGGAAGTCATCTCTGATTTACCACAGGGAAGATGTCAGGCTATCTTCTACTCCAAAAGGTATAGCAAAGTAAAGGATTTTTGCTAGTTATTTATCTCTTTTGTAATCTAATTTTTCATTCACAGTCACCTTTTTTACATTTATTCCAGATTAATTAATGTAGTTTACTCGGGATTAATCAGGTAGAAATTGCAACTAGTCAGTGGCTGGTCAGCCTTTTGTATTAATCTAATTTAGTCACCTGCTTTATCATAGATTGGGCAAATAGAATACGACTAAAAATTCCCCTGTAAGCCTCTTTAAAACCACTGTTTCTAGTCTAGTAACACGAAACGCAGTGATGCAGTCACCCAACTTCTCTATTTTTTTTTATATTCTCAACATAAGGATGTTTCAGCATGAGATAACACTAGTTAGAATCAAAATCCCCAAATTAAATGAGAGCATGATGTTCCACAATTAATGGATCAATAAAAGAGCATATTCACTCTCCAGAGTTTACTGGAATGAAGACAGACAAAAGAGCAGCAGGGTAAGAAAGTGAGGGCAAGCTGATCTAAGCCACTGTGCCTTACATACACTGCACATAAAAGCCTGGTGCCTCTCTTATTATTTGACTTGCAACAGTTATGGTAGATGATACATTCTCCTTCAGTTTTTCTACTCATACATGGAGTTCTTTTCATATTTATGGAGCAGAGCTGACATAAAGATAATGAAAACAGCTACATGTTTCAAGTTACACCAATTAGAGATTTCCTGCACGCAAACTGTGAAACGCCATCTTTCACTACCTACACTCACAACTCCTTTCTTGGAAAGTTCCTGCTTCCTACTTTAAACTAGTACAACGTAACAAGTGGAAAGCAATAAATCTAAAAATACTACATTTTTGGAAATATCAATCAGATCGATCAGATAGATCAATCAATAGCTTGTTATTTCATTATTCCTTTCCTCAATTCACTTCCATTAATTTTTTTTTTTCATATTGAATATTTTGAAGATGCATCCTGGGCATGCTGGTTTATATTACCTGTACAGCAAATGTACCAACTCCTCCTGAAGCTCCTAATATTAATACTCTGTAAGAGAAAATTAAAATATATTAAATAGTTCTTTAAATAATCTCTATAGTAACTATGTATTCTAATGCTTTACATCTCTGACACCAAATTATTTTAAGCAAAAGATGGTATTTGTCATTCAGTGTTAGGTAGTGATTAACTCTTCAGATAGCCAGTAATGTGACTTAACACTGCTGATCATGTTTCCTGTGCCAAGAGCATTAACCCAGCACAGCCAGAGAGACTTCCTCATATGTGCTTTCCACTAAATCCAGGCAGTGGAGCTGTCAGGCAGTAACATTTACACCCCAAAACCCCGTCCCTGTCCTCACTTTCACATAGTTGCTTTATTTGGGACAAAATCAATTAAGAGTCTTTCTGTCTCCCAGATTCCACTGTTCTATCTCCTGAAGAATACAATCCGATTCACCAACATTTTACACAAACTGCTGTTATCTAAGAGAAAAAGTAGTTTAGTATCACATTATTTAGGGAGACTGAGAACATCAGAATATATGAACCATAATCTTCCCATATTGCATATTTATCTAAAAGAAAGAAAAAAACGCAATGAAGTAGTCTCACCATAAAGAAGTTTATGTCCTCTTAAATCAAAATATCTGCCTTTTTCTTTAGAAAAAAGGCTACAGAATTTTTCTAGTTCAGTACATCTCAAGAAGACCCTGTAAATGCCAGGTGGTAGAAACTGGCACAGAAGCAAGAAAATGAAAGAGTATATTGCCAAATTATTAACAAGTAAGAGTTCATTTTAACTGAATACACTAGCCCAAATTTTATAAAAATTAATAAAAGTTTAGTTGTGTCAGAACCTTACTGCTATCAGATTAATCACTGTTCAAAAATTTCATCCAGATATTTTATTAAATAGCTGAACTTCAGAAAGTGAATTAGTAAGAAAGCCTTGCTGCTGAAGTTACAAACAGTGCTTGGACTTTGGACCCATTTGCTAATTCTAGGACAAAAGGAAGATCCAAGATGAAGTCTTGGCACAGGACTGGGGAACATCATGTTTCTCAGAACTTCTGTTTGCCAGAAAAATTTCAGAAGCCGGTGACGTTCCTGTTTTAAATCTCACCGTGCTGGATGTTGAAGGGAATTGCTTTTTACAGTGCAAAGCTGTACAGCACAATCTGGAGTCTCAGTTTACAAAAATTCTTTGAAGTAACCTAAGAGACTTGGCTTTGGTCACAGTATCCATTTTAAAATGCTTCCTTTTGAAACTGATCAGATTCCATTCCCTCCTATTGCACTGAACCAAGCCGCAAAATTCAGATTAAGAATTTGAAACCACAATGCCTGCAGCTTTTATATCTGCCAAAAAGTACTTATTCTCAGAATCATGATTCTAACAACAAATGCCTGAAGCAACATTAATATTAAGATTATACTTGAAAGGGCTCAGTGATGCTATAGTCAACAAACTGGGTTAAACCCATCCTTATCCTTACAAAAGACAGTCACAATTAAATCCTTTCAAAATACCCCTGCCTTTCCAATTTTACTCCTGGCTTAAAGCGTATTTCTACCACTGCATATTTTGGAGAAAGCTGTCATTTTAAAATGTACATTTTGCTCAAGGATTTATGTAACATTTTTGGTTTGGGGGAGCTGCTTGGCTAGGACTTTTTTTATTTTCCCCTTCAATAAAAGCCCCTGAGATTCTTCGGTAGAAATACTTCCCAGCTTTGGTTTGCTCCCATGTTATACAGGCTATTTCTACCAAACTTTCTGTTTATTAAAACTCTATCCGTGCATTGTGACTTCAGGAACAATCTTCACTTCAGAGACAAACTATGTCTGCACAAGAGATCCATGTGCCACAGCTCAACAGATCAGCATTTTTACAGCACTGAGGACAGCAAAACACATTGTTTGGCACAACACAAGGAAGTGGGGAAGCGTTTGAAGGTGCAGGACCTGTTAGGACAGTACTGAAGGACCACAGATCATAGAAAGTGCCAAAGCAGGCACAGCTTTGTTTGCATTGCCTCAGGAAAACACAGCCAGGAGAAAACGTATCAGAGAAACTACCTGTTTTGTGCAAAGGTGAGCTCAGGACTAAACAAACATACAAGCATGTGCACGAGGGAACACACTAATGAATTATTTGACCTGAACAGAGATCCAAGAGAACCAGTTCTCTCAAAGAACAAAACAAACAATCATACTCTACGCTTTGCTCCCTTCTGACAGAGGCACATAATTCAAGCCAACATTCACCAAGCCCCGTATGAGGCTCTAGCAGTTCAAATGATCAGCAGATCTCTGCAGATGCGCATACCATGGGATTTAGGAGTTTAGCCCTTCTCCCTGGGCCCTGCTTGGAACTATGGTGTGGTCAGAAACAAGCATCAGAGAGCCAGGACCTGTTTGAGCTGTATGCACCCCAAAAAGACAAAGGGTGTGGGGAGTGGGTATACAGATCAAAGACTAACATTTTCTCCAGATTATAAGCAACTAACAATTTTCAGTGACTCAGCTACATGCCAAATAAAAAAAATATTTATTGCATAAATATATAGATTTTAGATATATATTTTAAAAATTCATTTGATTATGCCAACAAAATGTCCCCAAGAGATTTATTCCTGTATCAGGAAGCATGAACCCTATCAGGAAGTCTTACAACTTACACTCACTTTCTACTTTGCAACAAATAAAATGATGAATTATCACACAGACTCTGAAAAAATATTTTCTTGGGGTATTATACTGGAGACATGGACAGTGGGATTGAACCCTCAGCAAGTTTACCAATAACACCAAGCTGTGTGGTGCAGTCAACACACTGGAGGGAAGGGAGATACCATCCAGAGGGACCTGGACAGGATGGAGAGGTGGCCTGTGCAAACCTCATGAAGTTCAACAAGGCCAAGTGCAAGGTCCTGCATATAGGTTGGGACAACCCCAAGTACAAATACAGGCTGGGAGATGAGTGGATTAAGAGCAGCCCTGAGGAGAAGGACTTGGGGGTATTAGCAGATGGAAAACTATGAGCTAACAATGTGCATTTGCAGCCCAGAAAGCCAACTCTATCCTGAGCTGCATCGAGACGTGTGCCCAGCAGGTCGAGGGATGTGATTCTCCCTCTCTACTCTGCTCTTGTGAGACCCCACCTGGAGTCCTGTGTCCAGCTCTGGGGACCCCAGATTAAGGACATGGACCTGCTCAAGTGGGTCCAGAGGAGGCCATGAAGGTGATCAGGGGGCTGGAGAACCTCCCCTATGAGGACAGGCTGAGAGAGTTGGGGTTGTTCAGCCTGGAGAGGAGAAGGCTCCAGGGAGACCTTATAGCAGCCTTCCAGTATTTCAAGGGGGCCTACAGGAAAGATGGGGAGGGACTCTTCATCAGGGAGTGATGGGATAGGACAAGGAGTAATGGTTTTCAACTGAAAGAGGGTAGATTTAGATTAGATCTAAGGAAGAAATTCTTTACTGTGAGGGTGATGAGACAGTGAAGAACCCCCAGAGAAGCTGTGGCTGCCCCCTCCCTGGCAGTGTTCAAGGCCAGCTGGATGGGGCTTTGAGGAACCTGATCTATTGGCAGGTGCCCCTGCCCATGGAAAGGGGGTTGGAACTAGATGATCTTTAAGGTCCCTTCCAACCCAAACCATTCTATGATTCTATTGTATCATTTAAATTCTCACTGTAACAATATAAACCAGGAGTGTACATTTAGTAGCTTACAGTAACAGAATCCAACATCTCTCCCCAGCATACTTAAACATACAGAAATATTGACTCTGTATTTATATAAAAGACCTTTACTTAATATTAACGTAAATGTTTTCAAGAAATTCTCAAATTGTCAGGTTTGGTTTTATCACGCTTTTTGTGAATACAGCAAGCACGATATTTAACAGCTACTGTTGAACAAGCATATCCCCTTTCTACTGAAACAGGACACCGGCAAATATTATTATCCACAGAGAACTTCAAAACAACAGCCATTCTGAACATTTTGGATAAGAAGAACATTCACTCTTAGCTTGTGCAAGAATACTGACATGAATTACAGTGGTATAGGATAAAAGCTATGGAGAAATGACTGGAGTTACAGTGAAGCAGGAGACATCATGAACAATGTGAGCATGCTTCAGGTAACTTGTAAAAACAAAATTTGTGAAAGTGTGTGCAGATGCAGCAGATACTCCTGTCAGATCAACATACAGTCAGATGTTGGACTGTCAGCAAGTATTCCTGGTTAGCCCACCCTTCCACCTTAAAGAGGCAAAGAAAACAATACACACCAATAGAAAAATATCGCTGTTTCTAAGAAGTCTTAACACTGCAATAAAGTATCAGTGAAGTAGCTTTCATCAAGGAATACAGCTGCTCTTTCGAAACAAGACACACTCTTGTGTGCATATACACCCTTCTACATAGCTATTTACAAACACCTACAGGAGACAAAAAGACCAACATAAAATCACATATGTAGGTAACTTCTTACCAAGCATATTAAATTATCTCAAAAAGTTAAGAAACATTATGTAAATTCTTGTCTTTTGAAACTATTGCCTTGAGAAAGTAATGTGAAGTTCATGGAATATACTTTTGCAGAGCCCCATCAATACATTTTATGTATTTTCCTACAAAGAAGTTTTTCAGGGGAAAAAAGCTATCAGCATGTAAGTCATTCTCTGCTTTTTTTACAACTCAAAACTTCTAGATGGGAAATATCATAATTTTATAAGTACAATAAAATGTTTTTTGCTGACAGAGTAATTAAATATTTTTTTGGAACATAAAAGTAAATGTTAAGTGTAAAGACACAATATAAATTCAGTTTGAATTTCACTTTTAACAATCCAAACACTTACCTGAAGATTGGAAAGATACATTAAACAAGGCCAGCCTATCAACGTAACTTTAGGTTAATTCTATTACATGTTAAAGTTAAGATAATAAAAAAAGTCTAAATACTGAAAAATAAAAAGAAAGGCAACATATCTAGAATTTTATCACTAGCTGGAAGTTAATTTCAATGACATCTCTGAAGTTGTTTAAATTCTGCAATTTCATTTGCTCAAAACATTGTTTATCTTTAGAACAAATAATTACTTGATATTTTAATGATGAAATTTACCATGATATATGAACAACTCAATTATCTTGATGTGGTTGAATAATTTCAAAAAATCTAGTGTCTTTAGCAATGTGTTGCACTGCTACGGTAGCATCCAAGATAAGAGGAGGTCAGGCATCTAGACTCCTACTGCCCAGTAATTACTTTATGACCTAAATTTTTAGTGCAGCATAGTAATTTTTATGATTATTTTTCAATTCCAGCATTTTTACTTTTGCCCTTCTTGCCATTCTGAACATTTTGTTATCGATTTACACAAACATCCAAAGGCCAAAATAACTGCAAATTCCAATTATCAGGAGAAAAATGTTATCTGCTCCAGTCTTCCAATACATTTTTTCCTTTTCTGTCCTCCATCTGCCATTGTCAGATTAACAGGTTGATAAACAAAGCCAATTTTTCTATTTAATTTGGCTGTTTGTCTTGCACGTTTTCCTCTACTCTTCTGCGTTCCTGACTTCATCAAAGTTCTAGCCTATAGGTCAAAGGAGACCCAGTCACCTGCTCATTTTTTTCTAAAAAGTTGGAAAACCAGTCTGTTCCAAATGGCCCATGCATGCAGGAAATGAGTGGAACCACACCTCTGTGGTTGAGAGGGCTTTTTGTGAGTTTCCAAAACAACTGAAAGGATATTACATTTGGAAAGCTGTCCTAAGCAGACAGAAAGACAGTCTCTATAAATTCCTAGAGACGCCATCCTTAAATTATCTGTATAGTCCTACACATAAGATACATATTGGACTACTTGTCTGGTGACTGGTGACTACAGTCACTGTATAGAGGAAGCAAGCAGCAAGTGACCAGGTACACCAGGCAGGGTCCTTGTCTCTCTCTAAAGAAGCTTCTCTCCTTGTCTCTCTCTAAAGAAGCTTCTCTCTCAGCAGTTGTGTAATTGAACCTAGCATCCTCAGGCCAGCTGGTCTTCACAAATGTCATGGTAGAACAGTCTTCATCACTGTTAGACATGGCTTAGAAGCAGCTAATCAGTTTAAAAATGGAACACTAAGTTTTAGCACAAGAACTATTTACTTACCTTTTCCCACTACAATTACTTTTGTTCAGTCCTCCAACTTGGTTAACCGCAGACCAGGCTGTGAGACCTACATACGGTAAGGAGGCAGCTTCTGTGTGACTGAGACACTTTGGCTTAAAAGACACCTGAAAGAAAATCAATTGTATCTAAATTACACAGCAGATCCTACACAACACTGAAATTCAATTTCAACAAGCTTTACTGAATGGCAGATTGTATATTCCACATTTTCAACTAACTTCATAACTAGCTGGAGTCTAAATCAATCCAAGCACCAAGAAATAGACAGTTACTTAAGATACCAAAGGAAAAAAAAAAGCCAGTCTACAATTTTGGGGTTTTGCCTGTTAGCCACATTTTTGAAGGTTTACCTCATTTCCACTAGCTACCACAAACTCTGACAGAGTGCCCTGTTTCCATGGAGGAATTGCTGCCCATACCTAAAACCAAACAGAGAACAACTATCAGTTTTTGTAACTTTGCACATGATTGTACGTACAACAGAGAAGTTTTCTTCATTAGTCTTCTCTTCAATTTGAAGAATATCTTCACTATTGCTCATCAGAAATCAGCTCAGCTTACTCTTTTTCACAAAAAAAACCACACCAAAGACCAAGTAAATGAAGGACGGCAGATCTATGCAAACAAATTTTACTATATAGTGTATAAGACATAAATTTTTTAAAAACCCCAAACTACTTCCATGCCAGAAAAGCCCAGATTGGAGGAGATGGGGCAAGGAGGAATCAGAATTTCCTACCCTAGAACTGGTGAAATGTGAAAGCAACTGGTGAAGGTGAAAGCAAACAATACCAGTATTTATGTGGGGACTCACAAAATGGTTCTTGGGTTATGCCAGAGTTCCTATCCTAACTATGTCACTCAAGGAAAAAAAACCAACTAATACCTTCCTGTCAGAATTCTGTCTTCGGTCAAAAATGAAGCAGTATCTCGAGTGTGTACTTACAATTAAATAAGTATCTCGAGTGTGCATTTAAATAAATTGCTCTCTTGCTACCACTGAAATGGACAAAAATTAAAAAACAGAAAAGGAAATAAACTTGCAGAAGTAAGTCTGGGAAAGACCATGTTTTTCAGAGGAAAAAAGGTAGAGAACAAAGCATTCTAGGAATTTACTGCCACACAGTCCTTTTTCAGAGTGCAACAACATAAAGAAAACCATTTTCTCAAGAGGAAAACAAAAGCTGAACATCTCATAGTATATTTTAACTATATATTTCAGAAGAAAAAAAGAGATTGGTGGTATCACCTCATCTCCAGGTTTGAAATAAGACACACTCAGTCCACATTCCATAATAATACCAGAGACATCTCGACCAAGTGTTAGTGGAAATTCAGTGTCCACACTTTTGAGTTTCAGGGGATCCCGCTTCATATTTAATGCAGTTGCACCATAACCACCTGCAAAACATGAAATTAACCATGACATACTGTACTGAGTTTTCATTTATTAAATGGACAATTCCAATTAGAAAGCATTGTCTGTACCTCATATGCCTCATACGTGTTATAACTTAAGCATGAAAAAAATCTGCAGTATTTTATACTTTTACAGATTTTATAAATAAAAAGCAAATATCATTCTTGCTTATTAGTCCATAAAATGTCTCTCCATTATAAAAATATTTAGTATGTGATAACACTGAGAGAAATTCTAAGTCTGCTGGAAATGCTCCATTTTCCAAGTGCATCATGTAGCTACAAATCCAAAAGAGCTCCAAGCTTTCCATTCGTCTTTTCAAATAAAGTATTGTAAAAAGTAACAGGAACATAATTGTAAAAAATATTAAGGCACATATCCTGAGTAACCTGAACTTCTATTCTAATAGCATCTAATAGCTGCTCAGCCTAAAAAAAGTCTGTGTTTGGGAATGTATGCCCTTTCAAGCATTTGGACAAGTTTGCTTAGGTGCCCTATTATGCTAGAAAGTCTTTTAGTATTGAAAAGAAACAGACACAAAAGCAGGCACCTTGAAAGCAAGATGAAAATGCAGGTTTTTTCAAATACTTTTACACTGACTCAAAATACTAGTTGCACCCCAGCAGTTCAAGTGGGTCATTCAACAGGAATCCTTTGACAGCAGAAGTCCCATAATCAAACCCACGACTTTATACAAAGATTTTTTTTAAATTCATTTGTTAGAGACCCAAACCACGAATTACAGCTCTGCAGGAACACTTCCTGCAGATATCTCTGCAGGTGCTACTGAATCTGATTTGATATGCAAGATCACTTCTCAACATGAAATGTAAGGTCCATTACTACTGTAACTTCCTTCTTGTATTTCGAACCTTGAGATTGAGGGAAAAAAACGTTTAAATGCATCAAATACAAAGAGTTGGTCAGTGACAGATACAGATTTCCTGGGCAAGAGGATAGCAGGTACCTAGATGCCAATTCAAGAAGAGAAGGCATGACTACAGACAACATGCTTTGGATTGGGTGGCACGTGCTGACTTTGCAACTCTGACCTTCAGCCCCATTCACCTCAAAGGGACAGGAAAATCCAGCACCTTTCAGGGGGATTGCTGCTCCTTGGAAGGGCCAGTCTCTTAGTCAAGAGAGTGATGCCATCCAGATGGTTGGGGATTGGGGGAGAAGGCCAGGAAATACACCCCACCATAGTTACGCTACTAACAAAGGGAAGCTGATGCGGGAGCTGCAAACCTGCGGAGGACAGCAACGAGTCACAGATTAAAAGCTCACGCCCGCAACACACACGTCTTCAGAAAGGCAATGGCTTTTTGTACCGTTCTTCCCCAAGAACCTGAGAAAAATGAGTTTTGAAGAGGCGGTTTCCCACAGGGTTCAGGGCAGCACGTGCTTTCACACTGCCGGGACCGAGGCCCACCGGGGCCGGCGGGTGACAGCGTCTGTACGGTTTTGGACGCCGGGGGACATGTAGAAGGCGCAAGCCGAGCGCACCCCCTGCCATCGCGCCAGCCTGGCCCCGGCCGCTGGGGCTCGGCACTTACTTCTCATGCTAAGGTCGATGGGGTTCAGGCTTGCGGCGTGAACCTTAATGATGACCTCGTTCGGGAAGTGTATGATGGGGAACACCATGTCCTTGGTGAAGCGCAGCACGTCGTTGCGGCCGTACTGGTCTATGACCCAGGAGGGCATCTGTCTCTTATACACAT